TCCCTGGAATGTTCAGTTCCAGGTTGGACATTGGGGCTGGAGCAGCCTGGGACAGTGGGAGGTGTCCCTGCCATGGCAGGGGTGGCACTGGATGGTTTTTAATGTCCTTTCCACCCCAACCCACTCTGGGATTATGTGATCACACAATTTAAGTGAAATTCTCAACACTTCAATTATTTTGGGGGGCTTTGGCTGTGGCTGCATCCGTCTGCCAATCCTTGGCTGCTCATTTCCACCTTTTAAGCCAAGATAAAAAAAATATTAAAACAGGAAGAAAAAGCAAATGGAACAAGTAACATGTCCTAATTTCTCCAAGGAGGCTGGCTGGGAACTGAAATGACTAGATTAAAGTATCACACGTCAGAATTAAAGTATTAGATAAAGGCCAGACTCTACTTTTTGATCTTTGTGGGCATTCCAGAAATTTAGAAAAAACCAAAAAACCTCCAAAACACATTAAAACCCCCCTGTCACAGATTTAGGCTGGAAGCACCGATATGGCAATTCCGAGGGGAAAGGAGCCTTCCATCAGCAGCTCGAGGCTCCCACACTGGGCTACTTATAGTGAATATTTTAACTCATTTTTTGGGGAAATACATTGATTTTTTGAGGGGGATGAGGAAGACCCCTGGATGCAATTCCAACGGGAAAAGAGCCTTTTATTCTGTGATTCCCGCAGCACCTCAAGGCTCCCATACCAAGCTACTTTTAGTGCATTTTTAAACCAATTTGGGGGAATTTACTGATTTTCAGAAGGGGATGAGAAAGACTCCTGGATGCAGTTGTGAGGGGAAAGGAGCTTTGACTCAGCAGCTTGAGGCTCCTGCACCTAACTCACTTCTGAGGAAATATATATATTTTTTTCCTGAGGAGAATTAGAAAAAACACTGGACAGAATTCCAAGGGGAAAGGAGCCTTCCCTCAGCAGCTCAAGGCTCTCACACCGGGTGACTTTTAGCGCGTTTCTTAACTTGTTCTTGGGGAATATATAGATTTTCTGAGGGGACGAGAAAGACCCCTGGGTGCAATTCTGAGGGAGGAAAAAAACCTTCTAGAATCCTATGGCTCCCTCAGCACGTCGGGGCTCCCACACCGGACGACTTTTAGCGCATTTCCCAACTGGTTTTTAGGGGGTGATATTTTTAAGCGTGTCGAGAAAGACGCAGTTCGGAGGGGAGGAGAGCGGAACCTTCCCTCAGCAGGTCCTATTCCTGCTGCGGGCTCCTTCCAGTGCGTTTTTTGAACGTTTTCTCGGCAATGTCTCGGTTTCCGAGGGGGCCGTGCCCGGCCCTGTCCCTCCCCACAGGCGGCGGGCGGGAAGCCCCGGCGGGCTCGGCCTCGCGCTCCCGGCGCCCCCTGCGGGCCGGGGCCGGCACCGCCCGCGGCCGCCGGGTCCCCCCCCTCTTCACCGGGAATGGCGGCCGCTCCCCTTCCCCGCCCCGCCGGGGCCATCCCGGCCCGCAGCTCCGGCGACACCGTCACACGCCGGAGGGCGGGCGGGCATGGATCAGGAAGGAGGGGGAAGGAGCCGTTGCCATGGCGAGCGCGGCCCGCCCTTGCCTCCCCACGTCAGCGCCGTCTCCCGCCCGGCCGCGGGTGATTGACAGTTGCTACGGCAACAGGCTCGCCCCCGCCGCCATTTTGTCAGTTGGGTTTTTTTTTAAATTTAAAAAAAATATTAAAATTTTTTTTAAAAATTAAAATAATAGTAAAAAACAAGAGCAAAGAGCTCCATTTCCGCCGGAATATCGGAGATTATTAATTTTTTAAAGTTTTTTTTTTTTCTTCTCCTTCTTCCGACCTCCACCGCGAAAGGAAAAGGAAAAGAAGGGACGCAAAAAAAGTGCGCTCCGAGGGTCCCGCCGGGGATGCGCGGCCGGGCTTGAGGCGGCGGCGGTGCGGGAAGCGAAGCCGGTTCGTGAGGAAGAAGGGAGGGAGGGAAGGAGGAGCGGGCGGGGAGGGAGGGAGGGGGAGGAGGTAGCGGCTGGCAGGCGGGGGAGGGAGGGAGGGAGCGAGGAGTTCCCGGGGGCTCGGTACGGCGCTGCGCTTCCCCCCATCCCCTCCTCCTCCTCCTTCTCCTCCTCCTCCTCCCGCTCCTCCCGCTCCCCCCGCCGCTGTCCCCGCGCTCCCGGCCGGGGCTCAGGCCGCCGATCGCAGCCGAGCCGAGGCGAGGCCGAGCCGCCGCCGGGCGCTGCGCAGGTTTGGACCGCGCGCCATTTTGTGAGGGCAGCGAACACCCAGAGCCCGGCCGGGGACCCGCCGGGCCGCCCGGGCTCCCCTTCCCACCGCGGGCAGAGCCGCGGCCCGAGGGAGGAGGAGGCGCCGCCGCCGCCGAGGCCCCCGGGGAAGAGCGGGAGGACGCGCCCGGCGCTCGCCCCGCGGAGGGAGAGGCCTCGCCCCGGGAGAAGCCGCCGCACGGGTGAGTGAGACGCCGCACCGCGGGACGAGCCGGGGCCGCCTCGCCCGGGCCCGCGGCGGAGGGGCCGCAGCGCTTCGCTGCCATCTTAGAGCGGGAGCGGCGGCAGGGCCGGGATCCATCCCCGCCCGCCCCTCCGCAGCCCGCGGCCTTTTTCCCCTTGGAGCGCGGCTGTGGCTTCCCGGGCCTTGGGAGCGGCGATGGAGGAAGGGAGCTCGCCCGGAGCCTCTCGGTGTTATGCGCAACGCCCTGCGGTGGGCGGGTGCGAGGGCTCGGGCCGGGCTGGCGGCGAGGAGGGCGGCAGGACTTGGAGCATCACCTGTTGTAGGGGAGGATTGGGATGCCCCGGCACCTGTGAGGGGCCGGTGGGGTGGGTGGGGAAGGTGGAGGGAGATGGGGAAGGAGTTACCTGAGCGAGGTGCCTGTCATCCCTTCGGTGGGGGTGGGGAGGAGGAGGGAGCAGCGTTGGGAATGGGCACAGGGACACGCAGGGACACACAGGCACAGGGACAGACAGGGACACACGGGCACTCCCCAGGGACGTGGTGGAGGCGCACCGTCCCTGGAGGTCTTTAAGGAAAGGCTGGACGTGGCTCTGGGTGCCATGGTCTGGTTGACAAGGTTGGACTCGATGATCTCGGAGGTCTTTTCCATCATTAATGATTCCCTGATTCCATGTTTTAGTAGCTGGCCGCAGCCTTTTAGGGATTCAGCTTTGTGTTGCTGGGGGCATTGGAGCTCTTCTCGGATACACCGGGTGCTCCTCTGGAGTGGCCAGAGTTCCCTCCCGGCGCCGCGGGATCACAAAACGCATTTAAAAGTCCTGGAATTCGAAATTTAGAAATTGGCGTGGTTTTGAATCTCAGTCGGCTTTGAAGTTTTGGGTTTAGCCCGTCCAAAGACCACGTAGGGGTTCTTTGATCACGTCTCTAGATTGCTGCTGTTACTTAGTTCTCCTATTACTCCACAGCCATCGGGGGAAATAAACATTTATTGTTATTTAAAATCAACAAAGACAGAGTAACTGACTCCAAAATAAATCGACAGGCGTGTTTTTGACAACCATCCTGGTTGAATCCGAATGAGAGTGTGCTGTTAACTTTTGCCAGGAGGTACTTGCAGTCACACTGAGGTGGATGGAGTTTCATGGGGGCCTGGATTTGTACAAGTTAACAACTTCTTTTATTATCTTCTTGCTCTTTCCTTACCTTTTCCTCAAGAAAGGTGTGTGAAGCTGAAGAACAAGTAGATGATATCTGGTGATAAACTAGCAAACATTTAGTTTCTGGCAGTATTTAATTCTCTGCCTGTAACCAGGCAGAATTTAACTTCCCTCCTTGGAATAGTCTCTGGCCCTAAAAAGTTTTGGTAAACTTGTTTCTTTCTCCACGCCCCCCTCCCCTCAACCTCTGTAGGTTGGATATTTTTGGAAAATTAATTATACTTTATAGAATTAGAAGAATAACACTGAAAATAACTCTGAGCTAGTATTTGTTAACTATTATCTATATATATTTGGTGTGTGTATATATAGATACTTTTGTAGGCTACGCTTCATGTTTTTGGTTTACATGAATTATTTAGAACTAGACTTTTTATTTGCAGTCTGAAGTAGAATATGTGTGTGAAGTGTTAAATTTACATTTTCTGCTGTGAATTAAAAATTCCATCCAAGTTTATGAAGCTTATTGAGTTTAATTCATGGCTTTGGAATATTCCTTGGGTGAAGCAAGTAGATCTTGTTCAAAATTGAAGAGCCAGCAGGGTTTTTGTCTTAAGCCAGGAGGGCAATAGGTCAAGAGTTTGATATTGTTTCCAGGCTCTCAGGTAGGGTTGGTTACAGGGGCAGCGAGCGTTACAGTTCCTGCATCAATACTTGGGTGGATTTAGGACTTGTCATTGGCATCCCCTCCCCCCCGCTGGACAGTGACAAGGATAATTTTACCCGATAGCAGCCAAGAGTTGTCCCTTTCAGTGCCGATTTATGGGCAGGATTCCCTTGCTCGTGTGAAACAACGAGGGACTCACCGGGAATTGATCCATTTGGGAAGTCTGGGGGGTTGTGCAGAGCGGGAATTAACACGTGATGGCCATCAGCACCTTCTGCAAACTGCTTGATAGTTTAAACAAAGTAGCAGAACACCACTGGTGCCCGGGAAAAAACTGTGCCTTGTGAAGCTTTTCAAGTGACATTTAATTAGGACAGACTTGCTTACATGTGCCACGTCTTAAAGTCATGTTTGAAACTGGACCACCTGCTCAGATGGTATGTGAAAAGAATAAACACGCAAAAACGGAGCCTTTCTTTGCCATGCACGCATTTCACAGCTTCATCTGAGCTCACATGGGTGCTGATTTGAAGACTAAAACCTACTGGTACCAAAAAAAGCACGTTTTGTTGCTATAATTAGATTACCTTTTGGGAATTCCTCTTAAAACCTGTTCATTTCAGGTGTTTTTAAGCCTGGCTGCGGAACTGCAGGTTGAAAGTTGTGGTGACAGTTCGTGTTTTTGAGTGAGAATTGCAGCCTGGTACCTGTTTAGCCTTTCCGTGGTCATTTTGAATGCCATTTGGAGAGCTGTTCTCCACATTGGAGTACAAAACTTTCTGATGTCTTTATATTATGGGAGTTGTATAACTTCTGAAATCCTTTTGTAAATAGATCTGTTGTTGTAGAATAGGATTATTTACAGAGAACTGCTGCTTTTGTCCTTATAACTGAGTACAGTACATTATTTGTTGAGTTTTCAGTTTCATCTTTTCTTTACTAAGAGGTTGGTAAGAAATACATTTCCTCAAAAATTATGTAATAACTTTCTATCTACTCAGACTCTGATGTTCATGCAATGAAAATTTTTTTTTGTCCTGTTTGAAATAATACCAAAGACCTCTCTAAGTGAACTGCTTTTCTTGGGAGCTTCTGAGGGGAGAAAGAGGTAATCAGGAGAAGGGGAATGCTCTCTCTCTCCTTCCACACCTCCATGGGCCCTTCAAGAGGAGGCTTATGGGAACTGCAGTCTTTGCATGGCTTAAAAACACCGGAGAAACTTTGGAAAATGAGGAATTGTTACTTTCCACCAAGACATGTTCCATATGTGGAGTTCTCCAGTGCTGGCTCTTCAAGGTGACACAATATATCAATAGAATTGCAGTGATTAGCCATTGTTTTATCCATCTTTTCCTCTTTTGGGGAAGGAAGATAAAATTCTGCATTTGATTCTCATTTATCCTAGAATGACTGGAAAAATAACTGGGCTGCTTTTACTGGTACCAGTGGATTTCATTCCTTCAGAACAGGGCTCTGGTTTGTCCTACCCTTGGTATGGCTCACTGTGAATGGTATTGGCTTTATCATCTGCTTATTTATTCCAAAGTGTCCTGTCCTGATGATTTTCAGGAAGAATCTCCACTGAAAGGGCAGGGAAATGTGGGAGACAATTCCCAGTCAGCTCTGCCTGCATCCATACAGTGGAAAAACTCTGGTGCTGCTTCAATCCCCTGTATGAAAACAAAATCAGTGAAATCCCAGCTCTGAATTTTGGAAAAGCAGGGAAAAGGGTCTGTAACTGAATCACCACGAGCTGCCATCTATTTGTAAACATTGTCCATGCAAAGTTTCCAGGATTGGGGTAGCACCAAGTACCTGAAAGTGAAACTGAGTAAATGAAAGTAAAATTAACTCCATTAAGTGCCAGTTTTGTTCCAGCTGTGAGAGACCAAGCTTTCAATTGATGTTACATAAAGTTCCAAAGCCTCCTGATATTCTTTCCCCCCCCCGCCTTTTTTCCTTTTCCCCCAGAGGCAAATAAAAATAGACTGTGTTGTGAGTCAGTTAAAGGAATAGTTAATAATACATTAATACCTCTTAGTGTTGAAAAGTTTCCTCTTTCTTTTTAGTAACTGTTTGGATGAAATAAGAGAGCGATGGAAATGTACAAATTGATTTCTGATGGCAGAGTCATTCCTTCAAAAAATAATGGGAAAAAAATTAGACTGAATTTTGTTGAGTTACTGGAAAAAAATCAAACTAACAGGACGACTAGTTCACAAAAGTATAAGTAAATAATTTTAGTGATTAAATTCAACTTGCCAGTGAAACTTTCAAATCCTAGTGTTCCAAGAACCTGAACCTGTTGTTCACTGGTTTTGTGGTTTCCTGACTGCAAACACATTTTATTCCAAATCCTCTTTCCCTGTATGTGTTCAGCTCGTGATTTGTGCTTCTGTGAACTCCATAAATTGCTAATAATTCATTTACTGGGGTCCTGTTGGAACATCCAGCACCTCCTTTGTAGAGGGAGCAGTTCTGTGCCCCTGGTATCAGTTTGAGTTAAAACTCGAGGAAGAGATGAAGAGAGGAGAGAATTATTGTCAGGGAAGTGAATGTTTGGTACTTCCTCAGTTCTGTGTTTTCCTGGTCACTGTGAGTTCCCTCACACTGATCTCTGCCCTGTCTGGTTGTAGCTACGTCTTTTTCCCTACTTACAGCTGTATAACCACATATATTCCTCTTTTTAAATGCAGTTTTAACAGGACTTAACACATTAAACACATAGAGGGTGTATGTGGTCACAGATAAATCAGCTTCCATACACTTTCAAACTCTCATTGATACTGGAAGCTCAGTAACTTTCCAGGATCATGTCTGATTCTGGCTTCTTTATTGTTATTCTTTCCAACTTGTGGATAATTGGGCATTAATGTAATGCTGTGCCAGAGTTAGTGTTTGAAATACATTGATTTCTTAATGTTACGAGATCTTGGTAGTTTTCATTTCTATACAAGTTACTCATAAATCAACAAACACTGGGTCAGTGTTATGGAATAACAGCTTAATGCACATTTTTCACCATCATCAGATGTTCCTAAGCTTAGAATTCTGTGCTCTTGTATTCAGGGTGACTTTCTGTCAATGTCACAGTGTGCCTTCAGAGCTGAGATTGTTATGGCAGGCCCTGTGCAGGAAAAGGAGCAAATGCTGGATGAGTGTGTGATTGTACCT